ATAACATGAAGTTGCATGATTGGTCCAATTTTGAACTAAAATGGCTTATAATTTGAATAAAGTCAAGATGAAAAATGGTTTGGGAGATTTCTAAGTCCAAATGGAGACTTCCAATATATGATTTTGAATGGAAAAGACATTCTAAAGACAATGGTTCAAACACTTTTTTGAGTTTAGAAGGAAAAAAGAAAGATATTCATGGTTACTTGCATTTTAAGAAACACTTCAAAAATGGATCAAAGTTGGAAGGCAAGGGAATGTGTAAGATGGATCTAGAATGTTCATGTGAGCCCTATATATTCATGAAATGAAGATTGATCAAGGGTTGGACTCATTTTCACCAAGGATTTCTCAAATTCTCTCATTCTTTTCTCATTGCAATTTCACTTCAATCTCACAAAATCTTCATCAATTTTCATCCACATCAATTCAATCTTATTCAATCATCATCCTGGATCATAATTGAAGCAAAGATTTGGTGGTTAGAATCCATTTTCGTGCACTTTCTTCAAGAACATACAAGCTGCAAATTCAGTTGTAGATCAAGATCCAAGCCAAGTTTCATCCAAATCTTGCAAACAGAATCGAGTACATCAAGAATGGATCAAGATTGAAGCATACAAGAGCCTGAATCCACGTGCTTTCTCAGCCTCCATTAAAGCTTGCTCAAGGTGCACATCTTTCTAACTTACTCAATTTAGGGAGATTTAGGTAGTTTTACTAGTATATTCATGATCCATGCTGTTAGGAGATTAGTTTAGATGAATTTGATGCTGAATAGAGGTAATTGTTAGCAGGTTGTAGAAACTGTTATGACCTAGAACTCGTGGCTTAGTGCATTAGAAGCTTAGGTTGTTAGCGCAGGATAATCACCATTAATCATAGATTAGATTAGGATAAGTTTGATTGAGAATTGTTGTGATGCATCTCAGAGTATATCCATGGTGACCAGAACTTGCATCGATCGGGTTGAGAGTTGTGTTGAGTTTCAGATCAATCTAAGACCATAGGCTTGTAGAGGGAGAGATTCTGAGTAGTTTTCGTGTTTATAGCGTGACGTGTCATGGCCTGTAGAGTGAGAGCAGGTTGGGGGAAGCTGGCTCGTGCATGAGGTTTCATGGTGAAACCCTAGTTCTCACAGATCCATTGGAGAAGATGAAATCTTGTGCGTTCGTTTCATGTGGACTTTTGACCTCAGAGAGTAATCCTAGGGCTGAGATTTAATTCTGATTTGGAGGGAAATGTGTTGGTGCCAAACGCACCGTTTCATTAATTGAAACGGGCGGGCCTGAATGTAATGTGTTATTCCCACCCCCAGTGCATAGGCCCATTGTCATTTTGAACGTGATTCTGTTTCTTTTCTCACCCCCTGCGTGTTTCTTCATTTTCATTATTTCTGAAGTTGTTCTGGGCCTAGTGCAATACGCTATGCGCACCCCCCGTCTGCCTGGCCCATCCAATTATTAACTGGGCGTGTTTGCTGAATACACCCCTCTCCCATTTATTTCTTTCATTTTTATTTTTAATTTCTCTTACTATTTTCTTGATTTTCATTAATTCATAATAAATTCATAAAAAATCATTTTTAATCCATTCCTTTTACACTATTTTCTTTAGGATGTGTAGAAAATTGTCATTAAATAAAATTGCATTTTTATTTTCATTTCATATTTTTTCCATATTTTCTAAATAAATGTCATTTTACTAGCTTCATTTCATGCATGAATTTAGTAATTTTTGTTCTCCTAGATACTTTCATATTTTTTGTTCATTCTTTTTTATGTTGTTTAGATTAGATATTGAACTTGTAGATTCAACTTAGTTCCCATTTTTAGAAATTAATTTTAGGTGATTAATGTAGGCTTGAACAACATGAACAAATTAGGGTTTTTAGGTGATAACTTAGGAAGTTTGATTTCATTTCCCTTAGGACTTAGGGTTTGAATAGATTAGTTATGGGACTATAGGGGCTATGGGTAGTTATTAGATCCCTTAGAAAATATTAGGATTCCCCTACTGCTATTAATAATACTCTGTGTATGTTTGATTGACTGGTGTGGTGCGCCCTCTGGGGATTATTGCTTGCTTGCTTGGGTATTGGGTTTGTCTGGGGCCTTGGGAGAGCTGAAGACTTGAGGAGATGAAGATCATTGGAAATCCAGAGATTGAAGATCAACTGCCAGAGTTGGAGAGGAGGTTCTTGCTGGCAGCTGCTGAGGAGATTAGGGTTTAGGAGCTAGGCAGAGCTCTAGATTAGAAAGCTTGTTTCTCAAACATGGATTGCCTTGTCTGCATCCATTCTTCTCTGTGATTCAGAGTCTCTCTAAGACACTCACCCCTTCCTTTGGAAGGCTTGGTGATAGTGTCTAAGAGATAGAACTCTTGAGAGAAAATGTCTCTTGTGTTAGAAGCAGTCTGTTCACCACCCTTGGTAGTCAACTGATTGCTTAACACCCAATTCACTCTTGTGACTGATTCCTCATCCTGGAGGTTTGAGCATGAAGAAAAGCCATTGCAGATGGAAGATAGATGATCAAAGCCCTTACCTGAAGGCCATGAAGATGGAGATTGATGCTTGTTGAAGCCTGTAACTGATTGGAGATTACTTGAAGTCAGATGTTGATTCAAAGCTGCTGGTGCTGTTTCTTTTGCTGCTGTATTTCATTTCTTGATGTATTGATTGGTTTTCCTGACTGTATTGTTTGCTGTTTACCCTGCTGGGTTGAAAGTGAAGCCTGTTCACTTTTGCCTATTGTTTTCTAGGTTCGAGGTTGAGTGGGACTCCCTTGCCTCGCTTGTACTGTTGCATCCATGCATTTTACTGCTTTATTATATCTGATATTGTTTCTGTTTCTGCCTATCCCGTAGGATCTCTGTTTCTCTCTGTGCAAGAGAGGAGCATGATAGACACTAGGTCTTAACCCATGCATGATAACATTAGGTTAGTTTGTTTCCCTTCGCAACCGTAGGTTAGAGTTCTGTCTCTTTCTTTCTCAAAACAAACAGAAAAACACATAAAGATTTCAAACACAATAAAAGACACTTCTTTCGTAAAAGAATGTGAACTCATCAAGACGTCATTTTTGTCCGCCGGGACTGTTAATCAGAAACACCTTTTTCAGAAGGAATAAAATCAATCAAGACAAGCTTGTGTCGTACGTGGCCCGAACTACGTTTGCTCTGATCTTTCATGCTGTATGAAAGTACGTAGGCATAGGATGCGATATCCTAGCGAGCAACCTTCCCCTCCTTTCCCGTAGGTAGGCGAACTACGTTGACTCTGATTTCTCGTTCCAGACGGGAATACGTAGGCATAAAGTGCGATACTTTGCCGAGTCATTTTTATTTTTCATTTTATTTTCCTTTTCACCCTTGACCTATAGTTTAGATAGAATAACAATCCGTACCCGAAAACAAGCGTGGATCCCGTCGAGTACGACGGACGTGAGGGGTGCTAATACCTTCCCCTTGCGTAACCGACTCCCGAATCCAGGTTTTGGTTGCGACGACCATACCTTTCCCGTGTTGTGCGAGGTTTACTCTGAGCGTTTCCTTTCCCTCCCGTGGGATAAATAACGCACGGTGGCGACTCTTCTGTTCAGCTGGCGCCGATTTTCGCAGTAGCGACACATTTTAGTGTATGACGAGTCAAGTGTTTAGACCCACACTCTTTAATATGTGCGCCTCATCCCACTCCGTTTTCATATATTTTTTGCAAGCACGGATATTAACATAATTGTTTGTGTTTTTAAATTTAAAAAGTACAGTGCTCGCATGCCCACCTTTCTCTGTGTTTACTTTTTATGGAGCAGGTCTAGATTTTAAGACTGCACCTTCAATTATGTTCGTCCTACTCTATCCTATTGCGCAAACATTTGCGGGACAGAGTTTAACGGATTGCAACACCTAATTTTAGCATAACAATTATGTATAGACTCAAATAAAGCTGTCAAATTAAAGGGTTGAAGCCTAATTTTTAAGGCCTTAAAACTATAAAGAGCCTAAAGTTTTAAAAATAAATGAACTTTAAAATAAGTAGGCCTCCAAAACTAATGACTCATAAAACTTAAAAAATACCTAAAATATGTATACTACTCATTTTCGTCAACATTCATAATATTTTACATACATACTTTGCTTACATATTAAACATTTTAGTATTTTAGTACATTGATTCAAATTTCGCTTGTATTAAAATAATAATAGTTATCACTCGTGAATAATAATTACTTTCTACAATATTTTTGAAAAATTACCTCCAAAAAATATAATTAAGGTTTTGAATAAGTTTTTTAGACTTAATTTAGTGTTTGTGCCAATGCACACATTCTATAAAATTTATTTGTTTTTTTTTTTAAGATTTAGAGATTTAATTGTATGAGAAATAAAAATTTATGAATTTAGTAAATCCATCAAATATTTATAATATATTAGTTTTTTTTGGTAAAGTGGAAAAAAATTAAGAAATTATTAGATATAATTTTTTTTTGTTTAAACATTAAATTCTATTGAATGATTTGAAAATTTTAAGAATTAATACTAATATAATTTTAAAATTTGTTATGAATCCATTAAAATCTCATATTAAAATTTTTTATTACAAAAAAAAAAATCCAACTTCCCGCTAAATAACAATACAATTAGAAAAAAACCTTCTCAAACAAAAAAAAACCCTAACCACCCAAATTACTTGCTCTGCGACTGCGTTCCTTCATCACTCCATTCGCCATCATCTCGTTCCTTTCTTCTCTGCAACAAATTGTTCTTGAAGAGTCAGAAGGATCAAAATAACAAATTGATAACACAGGCAAGTGTGATTTTATAAATCGGAGTTTGTATTTTATAATTAGGTTTTTGATTTTGAAATCTGTTTTTTTTTTTTTAATTTCGTAATTAGGTTTTTGATTTTGAAATTTGTATTAGGTTTTCGATTTTGAAATATATTATGTTGAATTTCGTATTAGGTTTTCGATTTTGAAATTTATTTTTGTTGCAGAACCATGGCGGCTCTGAAGGAGCTTCTTCCTGAACCAAAATCAACCTCAAAAACTTATTACGATCACAGCAACGATCCATGGTTCAAGCAACGATTCACCGCAACAGAAGAAGAAAAATCTGTTGCTATCAACCCTAAAGTCGTACCACCGTATATGAAGCGATCTGGTTTTGTTCCTCGGAAGGTAGAGGATTTCGGCGAAGGTGGAGCTTTTCCGGAGATCCATGTGGCACAGTATCCACTGGATATGGGAAGGAACAAGTCTTCAAAGCCTGGCTCGAAGATTCTTCCTGTCACTGTTGATGCGCATGGCAACGTTGCGTATGATGCTATAGTCAAACAGAATGAGAACGCTAAGAAGATTGTTTACACGCAGCATAAGGATTTGATACCGAAGATTCTGAAAAACAATGAAGATAGTGATATGGATGATGCTGATGATGATGATGCTCAACGGGAGATTGATGAAACCATGCAGGAAACGAAAGCTGCTCTTGAGAAGATTGTTAACGTGAGGCTTAGTGCGGCACAACCCAAAAATGTTCCTAAACATAATTCTGATGCTAAGTATATAAAGTATAAACCATCGCAACAGAATGCGGCTTTCAATTCTGGTGCGAGGGAGAGGGTTATTAGGATGGTTGAGATGCCCGTGGATCCACTTGAGCCTCCGAAATTCAAGCACAAGCGTGTTCCCAAGGCTTCGGGTTCGCCACCTGTGCCGGTGATGCATTCGCCTCCTCGGCCTGTTACTGTGAAAGATCAGCAGGACTGGAAGATACCTCCTTGCATTTCAAATTGGAAGAATCCTAAGGGTTACACCATTCCTCTTGATAAGCGCTTAGCTGCTGATGGGAGAGGGCTTCAAGAGGTTCAGATTAATGACAATTTTGCAAAGCTTTCTGAGGCTTTGTATGTCTCGGAGCAGAAGGCTAGAGAAGCTGTTGCTATGAGGTCTAAGGTTCAGAAGGAAATGCTTTTGAAGGAGAAGGAAAGGAAGGAACAGGAGCTGAGGGCTTTAGCTCAGAAAGCTCGATCAGAGAGAATTGGTGTGGCACCTCCCGCGGCTGCTGCGGCCCCTCTTGCTTCGAATAAGAGTGGGGTTGATGATGGTGATATGAGGGTTGATTATGAGCACAGGGACAAGGACAGGGACAGGGACAGGGAAAGGGAAAAGAATTTTCCTAAGGAGAGTAGAGAAGAAAGGGAGGAGCGGCTGCAACGTGAAAAGATTCGTGAAGAAAGGCGAAAGGAGAGGGAAAGGGAGAGAAGATTGGAGGCTAAGGATGCTGCCATGGGAAAGAAGAGCAAGATTACTAGAGATAGGGATCGTGATATAAGTGAGAAAGTTGCTCTTGGTTTGGCTTCTACTAAGCAAGGGACAGAGGTCATGTATGATGAAAGGCTATTCAACCAGGATAAAGGAATGTCTTCTGGATTTGCCACTGATGATCAGTATAATGTGTATGACAAAGGCTTGTTTACTGCACAGCCAACACTTTCCACCCTTTACAGGCCGAAGAAGGATGTTGATGATGAAACTTATGGAGGTGCAAATGAGCAGCTGGAGAAGATTATGAAGACTGATCGCTTTAAGCCAGACAAAGGATTTACAGGGGCTTCTGAAAGGGCAGCTCCAAGGGATAGGCCGGTCGAGTTTGAGAGTGAAGAAGCTGATCCATTTGGTCTTGATCAGTTTTTGACGGAGGTCAAGAAGGGTAAGAAGGCCATGGAAAATGTAGGTGGGGGAGGAACTATGAGAGCTAGTGCCGGATCTTCAATGCGAGATAGTTCTGATGGAGGTTCTGGCAGAACTCGCATTGGATTTGAAAGAGGGCGTTAAGCAAATCAGTGTTAATGGCATATTGTTATCATGCTTAGGTTGGCATGGCTTGATGTGGACGGTATTGATAATGTGGTTGAGTTATTGCTTACTCTTTATCGCTCTCCCCCAAGGATCACCTTGTAGGTGGTGAAATGTACGTGTATTTCGCTTTGAAACTTTTTTGTGGTTTTTATCTTTCCATGGAGTTATTTTGAGTTTAATGCAATATTTCAAGTATAGCTCCTCTATTTGAATGAAATGTAATTGTTGTTAAAATGTACTGAGTTATCAAGTTCTTTAATGACTGATTACAGTATACTACATTTGGTTTCTGGTATTGCTGTTTTATTTATGCCATTGAAGGGCTGTTGTGGCTGGTAATGAGGATATTGATCACTGGTAATTTTCTCGATTATGTTACTGTATTTGATAGTACTACTATTACATATCTAGAGACTAGAATGGAACTGCTGTCCAGTCTTTCTTTTTTCATGTTATGGTAACTGATGGTTCACTATTAGAGAATGCAATGTAATTGATAGCTTTAAATTTAATGAGTTATCAAGATTTTCAATACCTGCTTGTTTGTTAGTGCTTTTTGAATTATGTTATTGAAAGGGAAATTGTCAATTGAGATATAAAATAGGGTTTAATCACTACAAGATCCAAGAGTTCATGTGGACATGCATTCTTTTTTGATAGAACTATGTATTAGTGGTTTCCTCTACAGGACAACATTTGAAGCCCACATATGATAGGCAACAATATTATTTTTAGCAGTCTCCTCCACAACTATGTTGAGCAAACTTCCCTAGTTTCGTTTCATACACATGAAGGCTCCAGCTCCACACCCATTTGCTGTATATTCACGGCGTAACTACAGATTATCATTACCGCTCAAGCATTCTTTTAAATGGTGCAGGCATATGATTATTTATGACAATTTTATGAGAATGTCTTTTCAAGTTTCACTTGTTGTGTATACTATACTGAATTATTTACTCCTCTTTATGCCGTGGTACTGAATGATTATGCATTGTGTTGGTGATTGGAAAATGCTTGTCAATTTGGATGCCCCTGTATCTGGAAGTGTTATTGCAGCAGAAGCTGGAACACTTACTTTCATGGTAATGCTTCGCGTCTGTTTTATTCCAATTCACTGATAACATACATAACAACTACAGGCTCTTAGTAATCATTCTAGGTTAAAGGCCATGCATTTGATCATGGAAATCAGAAGAATACTAATCTTTTCTATTCTTATTGGATTGTGACTTGAAAGATTTTTTGAAAATCATTAGCCTTAGAAAAATCAGTGACATCAAAGTGGCCCTCAAACAATATTTTATGGTCAGTAAATGATATCAGTACAGTCCCAGTTTACAGGAACTATGGAATATTTTGATATAAAAATTTACGATTAGAGTACCAAATTGGTGTAATAATCTTTCAAGGATCAAATGGATTCTCTTAAGACCAAAATGGGGAGTTCACTATAATATTTGGTATACTTAACACAGTTTCATATTCCATTTCAATAACAATCATTTCACAATATTATTAATAATGCATTAAAAGTTATGTTCAATTGATTAACATGGTCATAACTTTTCCCGGGTTCGTGGCTCTGAGGAAGCAATTTTTGCCGCAAAATCCTTATTCTTTTCAATGGGTAAAAGTACAATATATTGTGGTGGAGCAGGGAGTGGTTCTATAATTAACATTATTAACACTGTTATAGGAATATTATTAGCATTCTTGGTTGTTTATATAGGATAATTCATTTTACTTATATTTTGTCTTTGGTTTTTGTTATTAGGCTGCAAAAATCTGTAACAAATTGGCTTTGGTTGTGACTTGTGAGCATGCTGGGAATATCAGAAGCTCTTGCTCTAGCACCCCTTGCTCTAGGCCAATCTCTAGGTGTTCCTGCTAGCTCTTTGACAGAGATATTTAACTGCTCCAGTGCTCGCAGTTGGAGTAGGTAAATAGTTCTTCTCTCGCTCAATTCAGCATGACGATTAGCTGCAGGACTATTGTGTATTTATCTGCACCTTTTTTTGGTAGGCTATGTTTCTATGTTAGTAGTTATGTTAGTTTTCAGGATGTAAATCCTGGATTTCATTCTCAGAACTTTTTCGGGTGACCCTTTGCTTATCAACTGAGCTACTTATGCGGGATATCGGTCTGCATCTTTAATATGTGGTAGCGAAAGTTCTTAGAAGTAGAGTATAGTTTTCCACAATTCAGTAGAAAGTACAATAAAGTTCGAATTGTCCTAAGGTTGAAGTACAATAATAATATTTTTCTCTCATCTTTTAATTGGAATCCCAAAACTTCAACAGAGTCTGTTCAAGGTTTGTTGGACCACCTGTTATTAGGTTTTTGCCATCGGACCATACACTAAGTCAGTAGTGCTGGGCATGAGGGGTGTGTTGAAGAGTCCTACATCAGATGAAATATGGCCTTGAAATATGTTTATAAGTGGTGGCATTTCTCAACTTATAAGTTAGTTAAGAAACATCTTTTGAGATTGCTTTTATTTTTCCCTGTTACCAGAAATACTGTTCCTTTTCCAGTAACATTCATAATATTTTACATACAAATCTTTGCTTACATATGGAACATTTTATATTTAGTGTTTTAGTACTTTGATAGTAAAAATAGTAGGTAATTGTTGCATTCTTAGTGATACTCAACCTGGTTCTTGGTCTGTTGTACATTTCTGTTTTCTTGAATTATTACCGATTTCTAACTGTCTGTCTCTTATAATAAATTTTGGATGTCTTAAGTTTAGAGTTAAATCGCAGCTATGGCGCACTATCTCACCATAGCATAGGAGAATTTAGACAAAACGTTGTTGTTTTGTGATATTCTGTAGTGTAGAGTATAAAATGTTGTCAAATAATAACCATATTGTGCTTTTGTTTTGGAGCTGTTAGTGTTGTCTTAGTCGAGGCTTTTGCTGTACCGGAGTCTTTGTATCAGTTTGTTCAAGGTTTGGAGTTTGGCATTGGCTGAGGTGCTTGTGTTGGCTTGGTATGCAAACTTCGTTTGAAATACTGGAGGAGTTTCGAGGATTCCGTTGTTCGCAGAGCCTTTTGGTTTCCTAGTTTGCTTGTGGTGGCAGCTGTGCAGGTCTGGGGTGCTCAGTTTTCTCTGCCTGGAGTCATTTGATTGGTCTTGGTGGGAGCTTTTTTAGTTTTTAGTTTCGGTTGCTTTCAAGGGGGGTGCTGGTATATTTCTATCTTTTTTTGTGGCGTTAAGGCAGTCCTGGCTGGCATGTCTTGAGTTGCAATTTTTTCCTCTGATCTGTTGGTTGGTGTGAGTCTACTATTTGGATTGGAGCCTGCTCCGTTTTTGTTCTCGAAGGCGTTTTTCTGGCTGTGGTGGATGTTGTTTTTCGGTTCTTGGGACTATTGGTGGACAGTGTATTTGTTTGAGCTAATGTGCTCTTTCTGTTTTGGTCTGGTTTCTTAATTTTGGTGCTGTTAGTTTTGCTCTGGGTGCTCTGGGTGTTTCATTTCTGTTGGTGTTTTTCTGTTATTAAGTTGGTCTGAAATGTTATGTATGTACCTTTCAAATGGCATTACTTGTGCCATGTATTTAATATATTTATTTCGCCTTTCCAAAAAAAAAAAAAACCATATTGTGCTACTAAAGCAGCATTGATATGATTGAAATTCATTTATTCTATAAGTCTGATTTTATTTTATATCTTAAACTTGTGATTCAAATTTCACTTGTTGTAAAATAATACCATCTCGTTCATTTATACAAGAGATAATTTATTTTTTTGAGTTCATTGAATAATCAATGTATTTGGTTAGTTTATAGGTTAGATATATTAATTATTCAATAAATTTAAAAACTAAGTTGTCTCTTATAATCAATAAATCTAAAAATGTCTTATAAAATAGAACTTAGAATACTAATCACTTCCTGCAATATTTTAAAATATTTACCTTAGTAGGGAGAGTATAATTGAAGTTTTGAATAAGTTTTTGGATAAAATTTCTCATCGTGAAAAATAGATATGCTCCGTGTAGGCGATCGCCTATAGGACATCGAAAGGTATAAATAGCACTTAATTAGGGAGTGTTAATTATCCAAACAACTCTTAATTAACTAATTAATCTTAGTTGAATGCCCACTATACATTGACTACTGTCTATGCCTTTGGAGTGGAGAAAGCTTTATTTCATATGCTTGCAAAAGTTGTATCATTAGAAGTAGTCCATATCTTCTCCATTTCCTAAGGAAATGGAAATCAGCATTTCTTTATTTAATTTAATGACACCTGTTTTGTAATAAAATTAATGGCTAAGATTATTTGTTTATAAATTTTCAATTAAAAAAATAGAAAGAGAAGATAACATTACATATTTTAATTCCTAATTTCTTCGTTGCAATCCTCTTTTTATTTTTTCTGCCTCCTCATCGTTTGTAGTCGCACCACCACCATTCCATGGTTACTCTTTGCCTTGATTGGCGTTGTTAGTCTCCAAATTTCATCTTTTCTGCCTCGTTGTCGCCGTAATTTGTTAATGATGGTGTCATTTTGCCGTGTCGTCACTGTAGTATTTTAATGTTGGTGCCGTCTTGCCATCGCCGTGGTTTTCTAATGCTGGTGCTCGTTGCCGTAGTTTTCTAATGTTGGTGTTCTCATCTCGTCGTTTAACAAGGTATTGATTGAACAGAGTGCCTTAATTTTCATTTTTGTTGTTGGTGTTCTCATCTCTTCGTTTAACAAAGTATTGATTGAACAGAGTACCTTAATTTTCATTTATGTTTTTGTAAAAAAAAATCACTTTTGCGTATGATATTTGAATAGATTGATGATACCTATTTAGTTCATGCTTAATTCTTTTGGGTAATTGTGATATTATTATGTTTTACAGGTAATTTTTCAAACTTTGTGTGTTTGAGATGGAAATTGAACTAAAAGCAAGAAAGGAACACACAATAGAAGGAGGCAAGAGAATGAAGAAAGATGAAGAAAAAAAGCTAAAGAGATA